CACTAACTAGTGGCGAAGCAAGCAACTCAGGGCTTAGGTGGATGGGGCTAGGGAACCCCCTCCTATCACTGGCTCTTTTTAATCTCACAACCTCCCTAAAGTTGGAGTAACGAATCCCATTTTATAGACGAGGGGACAGACTGGAGACAGAGCTGGGTCTCAGGGTCCCCAGAAGGGAACGTTAAAAAATACTGTCCCGGGCCGGCCAAGTGGCGCGATGGTTAAGAGCTGGCTTGGGACGCCAGACGGCCCCGGTTCGGATCCCACATATGAGGGCCAGTGACACTGCCCTCTACAGCTAAGATGCTAAACAACAGCTCAACCTGGAGCTGGGCTGCCGTGAGTCGCCGGCAACGGCATAGGCTGCAGCCCCTGCTGCAATGGGTTGCCATGGGCTACCATGTGTAGCCAGCAGCCAGCATGAGCGGCCAGCAGCCGCAGTGAGCGACTGTCCAGAAGCCGGCGACTGATATGCCTCACCCAGGAAGAGCGCAATGATGATGCCAACTTGGGCCAGTGAAGCAACGTCCTCCACAACTAGACTGAAGTTGTCTGTTCCCCTTCCCCCAATTCCCCAGCACTGTTCCCATTCCCCCAATTACCCAATAAAAATCTTAAAAAAAAAAAATACTGTCCCCGTCATCAGCGTTCAAGAGCAGACTCTCCAGGGCAGGAGAATAGGCCTTGCCGTCTCGCTTTCTGCACCTCCCCCACTCTGTGACTCTGCCTCCACCCCACCCCCACCCCAAACCATTGGCTTTTAACATTATTCCCCTGCTTTCTGCACATCCTTCCTGCCTCCCAGAGATTGACCTGGCCCTCCCTCTCTCCCCCCTCCAAACATTCTAATATTTTTTTTTCTTTAAATAAACTTCTAATTTTAGAATGATTTTGATTTACAGAGAAGTTGCAAAGATAGTAATAGTGTGTTCTCATACCCCCTCACACCTGAGTTTTCACACTGCTAACATCTTACATGACTGTGGTACATTTGTCACAACTAAGGAACCAGTATTGACACATGATTAGTAAGTGAAGTCCATCGTTTATTCAGATTACCTTAGTTTTTACCCAACGTCCTTTTACTGTCCCACCCAGGACACCACATAACATTTAGTTGTCGTGTCCCCTTAGGCTCCTGTGGGCTGTGACAGTTCCTCCGACTTTCCTTGTCTTTGATGACCTTGACAGTTTTGAGGGGTTCTGGTCAGGGATTTTTGAAGACCATCCCTCATTTGGGATTTGTGGGGTATGTGTGTGTGTGCGCGCGCGTTCTTTCATGACTACACTTATGTATTTATGCTTATGGGTTCTTGGGAGGAAGACCACAGAGGCAAAATGTCATTCTCATCACATCATCAACATGAGTTATCACGGATGATGTTGACCTTGGTCACCTGGCTGAGTTGGTATTTGCCCCATGTTTGGTCCCATTTTGTACAGTCCTCTTAGAAGGGAGTCACTAGACGCCCCCACACACACTTAAGGAGTGGGGAGTTAAGCTCCTCCTCCTAGGGGGCAGCAAGGTAGCTACATGCTTATTTGGAATTGTTCTGTAGAGGAGACTTATCTAGTCCCTCATTTATTTATTTATTCATCATTTATTTATATTAGTCTGGACTCAGGGATATTTATTTTATACCTGGGATTCTAATCCAATACTACTTTATTTTGTTGCTCAAATTTAACCATTGGACACTTGCTCGTGTCACCACTGTGTTCCTTGGATGAGCCTTTGTTTTTGTTGTTGATTTGGGGGCACTTCTTGACACTCTGGCACTCTAAGACGCTCCAGGCTCATCTTCTCTATTTACTGCCCCCATCCTAAAATCAGCCATTTCTCCAAGGAGCCCTGGTTCCTTTAATTGAGGAGAATGAAATTAGAAACCTACATCTAGGCACTGGGTGTGCACTCATTGCTACTTGGGTGTTACTGTTTCTAGGATTTTATTTTATTTTTTATTTATTTATTTTTAAAGATTTTATTGGGGAATTGGGGGAGGGGAACAGACATGTTGCTGTCCTTTTGTTCTTCAGTCTTTTGTGGAGGACATTGCTTCACTGGCCCATGTTGGTATTATCATTGCACTCTTCCCGGGTGAGGCAGATCGGTCACCAGCCTCTGAAAGGCCACTCACGGTGGCTCACGCCAGCTGCTGGCCACTGCCACTCACGGTAGCTTACAGGAGCCCACTGCAGCCCCAATGCACCTACGCCTTTGCTAGCGACTCACGGCAACCCAGCTCCAGGTCGAGCTGTTGTTCACCATCTTAGCTGTAGAGGGCGCAGCGTCACTGGCCCTCATGTGGGATTCGAACCGGGCCCTGTTGCTCAGAGCTGGTGTCCCAAGCCAGCTTTTAACCAACACACCACTCGGCCAGCCCTGTTTCTGGGAGTTTAGAGTTGGCAGAGCAAGGAGATATATGTATATGTGTCTGTTGTCCACTTTTTTATTTTAATTTTTTTTTTAATTGGGAAACAGTGTTTTTTTCCAGGACCCATCAGCTCCAAGTCAAGAAGTTGTTTCACTCTAGTTGTGGAGGGTGCAACTTAGTGGCCCATGTGGGGATTGAACCGTCAACTTTGGTGTTATGAGCACTGTGCTCTAACCAACTGAGCTACCCTGTCACCCCTGTTGTCCACGTTTTTTTTTTAAGATTTTTATTGGGGAATTGGGGGGATGGGAACAGTGCTGGGGAATTGGGGGAAGGGGAACAGACAAGTTGCTGTCGTTTTGTTCTTCAGTCTAGTTGTGGAGGACGTTGCTTCACTGGCCCAAGTTGGCACCATCATTGCGCTCTTCCTGAGTGAGGCACATCAGTCACCGGCTTCTGGACAGCCGCTCACGGCGGCTGCTGGCCGCTCATGCTGGCTGCTGGCTACACATGGTAGCCCATGGCAACCCACTGCCACAGGGGCTGCAGCCTACGCTGTCGCCGGCGACTCATGGCAGCCCAGCTCCAGGTTGAGCTGTTGTTCACCATCTTAGCTGTACAGGGCAGTGTCACTGGCCCTCATATGTGGGATCCGAACCGGGGCCCTCTGGCGTCCCAAGCCAGTTTTTAACCATGGTGCCACTGGGTCAGCCCCCCTGTTGTCCACCTTTTAATATGTAAATCACAGCGCAATACTCCCTCTCTCAGGTGAGAACCCTTTTTCTTCTTCTCATCACTCTTTCAGCCAAATCCCAAATCCCCAGCTGCCCCCTCCCCAGATCTTCCTCCTTGAGTTTCCGGCCTCTCTGGTCTCCTTGCTGGGCCTCCAACATGCTACTGCTCAGCGCCTTTGCACAGGCTGTTCCTTCTGCCTGGGATGCTCTTCCCTCAGACACGGGCAGGATTCCTCCCTCACCTCATTCAGATCATCGCTCTGCTCAAATGTCTTGACCTCGGAGAGGCCTTCCCCTCCCCCATCTCTCTCTCCCCTTTTAACCTGCCTTGTGTTTCTTTGCTGTGCTTACTACCTCATGACACTACTGTATCTTGTTTCCATTCTTCATAGTTTCTCTTCCCACAGGAGTATAAGCTACAGGAGGGCAGGTCTTTGGCTTGTACAGTGCTGTATACCCGAGTCCAGAGCTGTAGCAGGCACAGCTTGCCAAACAAGTCAGTGTTGTGAAGCCTGGGTCAACCCGGTGTATGGAGGCATGAGGTTGGATCCAGCCTCGTGGCACCAACCCGGGCTGCTCCCCTACCCCAAGCCTCACCACTCCCTACCATTCCTTTTCCACAATTCCCCCACACCGTGGACTAGGAAGATCATTAGAGGATTTGCTTAAAAGTCAACTGCTATTTTTTTAACGGGGACTTTGTATCCTGACAGGTCAGACTTCTCCAGTCGTCTCTAACCGTCCATGCCACCTTTTTATCGTCACCTCCATTATGTTATCCAGGGCAGCAGTTTTCTACTTGGGTTGACTGGGACCTGCAGTAAGAAATGCATTTTACGTCTGGACTTACTGCACACTCACACATACCTAGGAATGGGACAAAAACCTCAGGAAGTTATTCCCACTCTTGCTACGCAGAATATAACTGGATATTTCCTATTGTGTTTCATTTTTATAAACTTGACCTGCTGAATGGATTTCCAGGACACCGATGTGTTAATATGTCACAACCTGCTGTTGCTGCTATTGAAAAATACTGTTCTAGAGCAGAAGCAACCAGTCCTGCAAAGCACAAAAGACTCTGTTCTAGAATAATAACTCAATAACTAACATTTTCTGGGGGTTCACTTGGTGTCAGTACTGTTATCAGCACTTCGTGTGTGTTAATTGGTTTAATCCTAGAAACAATTCTAAAAGTCGAATGCCATTATTAGCGTCTCTGTTTTTCAGATGAGGAAATGGAGGCACAGAGAGGTTAAGTCACACGCCTGAGGTGACACAGCCCCACAGTGGCAGTGCTGGGCAGTTTGGCCCCAGGAAATGTACTCCTAACTGCTAAGCTTCACTACACATTTTCTGGGCAAGGCAAAAGGACAAGGGTTTGAGCTGGATAGTTTTTGTCCTGCCTGGAAGGAAAAGACCCGCAGCAAAGTGGGCTTCCTGCCAGGGCAGGGTATGAAAGCAGGTGTCTGGAGCCCTTCGTGGAAGGGCTGAGGAAGTGGGCTTCGCACACTTGCACCCCTGTGCCCGGGTTCTCAGCTTGGCTCTGGCTGCCCTGAGATAACCCTGCTTGTGGGCATGCGTGGGTGTTGGTGGTGAAGCCGCTCAAGGTTGAACAAAGCAGAGTGGCTTACTGCATTTGCGAGAAACTCTGGAGGCTTTTGGAGGGGAGGTTCTGCAGGAGAGAGTGGCCAAGACAGAAGGAAATGCCGGCGGGCCATGCCCGCCTCTGACAGGTCTGCAGCCTGCTTTCTGTCCATGTGAGCCTGTTACCAAACAACTCCCCCCTTTAATAACAAGACCGCCTTTCCTTCCATAAAATGGGGCCAAAGGATTCCCCAGTCAGGGCCTCACGTGAGTAATACGCGGGGACTCCTTCCAGCTAAGGTGTCACGTTTCTTCTAGGATGGCTGGAACTTCTCCATTGTGACTGGTCCATTTCATTCACAGTTCAAAAGGAACTTGAAGTAGCTTCCTCCACAACACACATGACAACAGTTAAAAATAAAGTGAGAGAGATCAGAAACCGTAGAGGAAGGCAGAGGCAAATCTATCAGGAACTTGGGGGAGAATGATGACTGTACTTGACATTACAGTTAGCCTGAATTTCCTGGTTCCCCCAGGCCCAGGGGGCTGTCCTACGGTGTGATTTCAAAAAGGAAGTGCCCCAAGTTTTCAGGAAAGCAAAACTGTCAAAGCAGTGAGGATCTGGAAGCAGTTAGACACTTACTTACAGTGTGTCCCCCTCCCCAAAAGGATTCAACCTTCCTGAGCCTCCGTTTCCTTATCCGTAAAGCAGGGATGATAAGATTTACCTTGTCGAGTTGCTGCATGTTGCAAAGTGTGATTTGAATGGCTGTCAGCAAAGACATATTCCGTGAAGAGTTCTTTTGGATGATGCAAAAGCATTCCTCATCTGACCGTTTCTTACAACTAACTCTGAAAACCAGGGGCTAGTGTTTAAATTGCAACCTGGCAAAACAGGGTTAGGACAGGTGTTAGGAAACCCCAGGGAAGGACGCTTACTCTGCCATGAGATTTTCTTTCTGAAATGTCCGTTTCTCTTCTGGCTTTTGGCAGGATCTCCCTGGAGGGGCCTGGAGGCCTCTGTGGAGGCCCAGTGATCCAGGTCTGGGGTCAGGGTAAGGTTGCTAGCCTCAGATGTTCTTGGGAAGGCTGTTAAGGTACACTCCCAGGGGCAGACCCAACATTCTTCCCGGAAGGGGCCTGCTGACTCCTCTGCAGGTGTCCAGTTGAGAGCTTAGATCTTAGAAGCTGGGTCTAGTTAGAGACCCACTCACCTTGCCCAAGTTCTCTCCCTTTTCCTGGCAAAAGAAAAAAAAAAACAACACCAAAAAATAGAAGAGTCTCTACTCCTCTCCTTGCTGCAGCCAGCACAGGGCCCAAGCCAGTCCTGGGAGGCCAGTTTTGGGTAGAAAGAGCCTCTCTCTAAGCCTCAGTCTCCTCATCCATCCAAGGGAACAAAACAGCTGCTTTACCTCCCAGACCAGGCTGGGGAGGGTCCTTTAAGCCATTGTTTGACTTGTAGACCAAAAAAAAAGGCGGGGGCAGGGGTGGGTGGGGGGTGAGGGGGTAGGTCCTATGGAAAGTAACCTCACAGTTGATCTGATCACAAATTCCCAACTGGGTGGGTCACCGTGGGTAGTCACACCCCAGACATATAATGCTTTACTAAAAGGCTTATCTTTGTCTTAAGCCAGCCCTGTCCGTTGTGTCTGTGTCTCTAGGTTAACACACCTTTGAGATGCTCCCTTTCAAGACCCTTCCTTCTAATACCTGACCACCCTCAAGAGCACAGGTAACCTTAACTCTCCTGTAACCCCGTCCCAGTCTTGCTGTCTTTCACCGCCATGTCATCTTCCTTACCTTCCCTCTTTAATCTCAAACGCATAAAAGAAACTGCAAAATTGTTCTCCGGAGCATTTGAGATCCTGCTCCCAGCATACGTCTTCTTCCGTTTGGGTCAAACTCTTATAAAATAGTCTGTACAGGTTTAGACATGCTTACATCCTGAGTAAGCAGTCGACTGGCTCATCCCTCACCATATCCTAGAGGGATTCGAAGTTACTACTGTAATCTGGGGAGGTGGCTAGCCCCCCACCCCCATGCTCTCGATTCACAAAAACTTGGAGGCCACCGCTTTCCCCAGGGTTGAGCCTGTTTGGAAGTGGAGCACCTAGCCGGCTCGCAGCCTCGCTTACCTTCCCTTACACCCACTCACCCCTGGCTGTTCTCTTGCTGCTGGCTGTTGACGTTTTTTTGGGGTGTGTGAATGTAGGAAGGCCTGGGGGGCTTTATGGACTCCTAGGATCTTTATTTGGTTGTTTTCCTTTGTATAAAAAGAAAACTTGTTTTGAAGAAAGGCAGGGTGCAGCTTCCAGAGGCACCTGGGGTGATGCCCCTCCTGCTGCAGACGGGGTGGGGGTTTGGGGAGGAGGGCGGGGGAGCAGAGGAGAGGGCTGGAGGACCTGTTGTTTTTCCTGTTGTAAGTAAAAAGGAAACAAAGTGGGAAGTGGAGTGTGCGGGCTGTCAGCAGGCGGGGCGCAGTAGGGGCGCCCCGCCTCCCACCCTCGAGGCTCACTCGCATCCAGCGCCTTTGCTCCAGGCGGCCACGGGGCCAAGTGAGCCCAGCCCCTGCCAGCCGCTCCAAGACCGGTAAGCGCTCCTCGCTAGTTGCTTCTGGGGACGTGGGGGAGAGGACCAGGGCCAAGGGCTTCAGAGAGGCCTCGCGGAGCCATGGGGCCAGCTCTCAGGGGTCTTCCAGCGTGCACAACGGGTGCGCCCTGACCCCGTGCGCCTCCCCGCGTCTAGAGAGCCCAGCAAGGGGCGCCCCCCAGGCGGGCCGTCCGGACCTGAACCAAGGCTGAGCTCGGGGGCCGGGGACGCCCCCGGTGCGCCCTGCGAGAGGGGCGCAAACAGCTCCCCGGCGCCTGTACTGAATGCCCTGCGGAGCCGGATGGGGAAGCTCCTCGGCCCGGTGGCGGGGTCCGGGCTGCGCTCCCAGCAGAGGGGCCGCCTCGCGTGTACCCTCCGAGGCGCTGGGGATGGGAAGCGCTCAGCCAGCCGAGCGCGCTCTGCCCCAAGCGCAGGCGAGCCGGACGCCGGGCGCCCAGGCCGCGCGACGGGGCGCAGGCTGCACTCCTACTAGCGGGGCCGCCCTCCAGGCTTCCTCTGGGCGCGGGGAGATGTGCGCACACTATCCCGGCGCCCTGCCCCTGCAAGCCCTCCCTAACCCTGGCGAGTGGCAACCCTGGCTGGAGAGGGGCCGGGGTCGAAGTGTGCGGGGCTCTGGGTCCGGGCGCGTGGACGTGCGACCGAGTCCCTCTCCCGCCCGCCCCGCGGGGACTCGGGACGCCGGCGCTGCTCGCCGCGTGTTGACTGCAGCCGCGCCGAGATCAGCTCCCGGATCTGCGGCGGAGCCCTGGTTACCGCGGCAAAACCGCCTCCAGCTTTGCATTTCCGGACTCTTTCTCTTCTTCTTTTTAATACTCTTACCCGGAATTCAGCCTGAATGAGGCCTTTAAAAAAATAAAATAGAGTTTCCTGTTTTTATTTAGGTTTCCTCCTCTGCACCTCCTTTTTGAAATCGAGGAGAGGGGAACCGGGAAACCTTTCGTGGAGACCAGGATAGGGGTCAGTGCGTCCTGGCTGCGCCCTGCCCTGGTGGGGCGACTGAGGTCCGGAGAGCGGAGAAAGGGCTGCTGGGAGGCTTTGAAAGGCGCGCTCCGGGAGGGGAAGAGGGTGGGGAATGGGATTTCCGGGGTCGGGGGTGGGTCCTGGCGTGGCACCCTAGGGATCTGCCCAGTTTTCGGATGGAGAGCTCGGGAGCCTCGGATGAGTAGGCAGCATTCACTTCGTTCAGGTGTCCCCTGGAAGGAGAAGAAACCTGCTGGTCTCGAACCCCATCATTCTCTCAAGTGGGTCTTCACCTGGGCTGCTACAGAAGCCCCACCGGACCCCACCCTCAGATGCCCCGCACAGTCACGCCTGTGTGTGGGGCGGGTGGGCGCGCGCCGGGAGGGAGGGATCCTCTCTCTGGAGTCTTCAAGGGGAAGGTTCACTGCTCCAAAGGGAACTTGGAACCGAGGGTTGATCCCACTGCTCACTTCTAGAAGAGCTGGACACCGCTGGAGTGCCTGACAGTACCGTGGGGTTCCTGTCAAGTGAAGGGTGCCATAGAGACTCCACCCACCCAAAGAGTTGATCGTTTTTACATATGTGTTCTCAAACAGCCGTAGGAGATGAATGATGTGGTCTCCAGTTTCCAATGGAGAAAACTAGGGGGCAGAAAAGTGAACTAATTTGCCCACCTACATAGCTTACAAGCAGCTCCCCAAAATCCCAGCTGGCGCAGAGGCCAAGGCGTTAATCACCTGGATGGTCTTGTTGCCCGCAGATGAAGGAGAATATTTCTAAATCGCTCTCTGTGTGTGAGCATGGGGAGACTTGGGGTGTCCTTTCAGAGATGCAGCCTCTAATGCACCCACCTTGATACTCCTGTGTAAACCCTCCACTGCCATTAACCACCAGGTTTGATGGATGCACTAAGCGGGGATGAAGATTCTTGTGATTTAGGAAGCTGGGACCAAACCCAAGGAGACAGAAACAGACCTTTCTCTTCTGCCCTCTCTAGAGCAGAAATCTCCAACCCCTTGGCATTTCCAAGTCCTGCTATGGTTTGATTTCTCCAGTTCAGGGTTCCATCCATCCTGGCTCCGGAGAACCCTGCCTAGAGCATCCCAAGGTTGATTCCCTTTTGGTGCTTTCATAAGCTTTCCCAAGTAATGAAAAACGCCTGGGGAGCAGGGGTGGGACGCTCTTAAAAAACCTGGTTGGCAGTTAGTGCCGAGTCCCACTCCCCCTACCTCCTACGCCCACGTTTAGAAACAGCACTGGCCACTCTGAGAATATAGATGTTTCTGGAATTAGGGCAAGTGCCTCAGAGGTGCTCCTTGGCATGCTGATGTCCCCTTCCAGCGGGACAAGCTGCATTTCTGCAGCCTCAGTCTATGCCCAGGGCAGGCGCGTAAAGCATGTCTTTGCCTGGTGCTGTGGGCTCCATCTTTTCTCTTGCTTTACTATGTTTAACAAGTGTTTACAGAGATACCACTGGGAGCCAGAGGCTGTGATGAGAACAAGGCAGACAGACTGGGGGGTACCAGCCCCTGAGGGCCTTCCAGGACACAGACAATCCACACAGAACTAGAGACCAGCCTCTGACCTGGTTAGCATCTGTGCCCACACTTGTGTTGAGGGAGTTTGTGGGGGTGTGAATAGGGGGGGAGTGAGGGGTCAGTTCCTGCTTTACCTTGTTTTTCTTCAATTGCATAGTTAAAGGGAGAAGTGAATGTGCAACTTATGAAGCAATTCCCCTTTGACTGGCTTATTTTTCAAAACCATCTTTGTTTAGAGAGCAGTTCCCTCCCTCCCAGAGGCCAGCTGCTTCTGTGGGTCTGATGGGGCTTGGGGCCCCACCAAAAGCTTCCTCACCGCGGTTCCTTAGAAAAGCTCTCTTGGCCACTCCCCAGGGGACAAACAGGTTTACCAGCAAAGCTGCTGGAAGGACAGGTCCAGAGGGAAATGCTCCTGGAGGGTGGGGAGTGCCACTGTGTTCCTGTCCCATGACAGAAGGACTTGTGTGGTCATTGACCTCCAGCTGGAGGATGGCAGGACCCTGCCTTGTTTGGGAGGGAGAGAAACGTTGTCATCTTTGTGCCTGTGCCAGGGTTTCATAAGTGACAAAGGTTGCAAAACTCCTCCTCTCTCTCCTTGCAGTTAATGTTAAAACGTAATTTTCTTTAATTTGGTTGGTGGAAATCCCCCGCAATCATATCAGAAATGCTGCCAGTTTCAAGATGGAAAAAATAATTTAAAACCTGGGAACCTCCCTCCTCACTCTTTCCTTGCAGACAAACACTGTGACTTTCTGTGGGTTGTCCCAAACTCTGGCCACTCTCCCCTCCCTGAGGGCCACACACTTCCTGGGGCTTGAGGTTGGGCTGTGACAGCTCCCCCTCCAGGGACACCTGCTGGATAAGTATGAGAACCCTCCACTGCCTCCCCAGAAGTGATAACTTCACCCCTCAGGGGAAGGTCAGTGCTTCTAGAAATGGGTGCTTTCCAAGGCCGCCTACTCTCTGAGCCCAGAGGAAGAGTGATTGGAGTAATGGGTGTGGCGTTTCTAAAGTGGTATTTCTGTCAGCTTCTGTTTCACTCACTTTGGAAGAAATTGCTTTCCACTCAGACAAAATGCCAAGAGTGGCTGGAGCGGGTGGTGGAGTGGGGGAGGGGGGGATGCCGCAGAAAGCAAGCAAGCTGCCTGAGTTGGGATTTTCTGTCCTGGAGGGATGCTGTATTCCTTTCTTGTGGCTGCTGTAACAAATTGCCATAAATTTTGTGTCTTGAAACAACAGAAATGTAATCTCTCATAGTTCTGGAGGCCAGAAGTTCAAAATCAAGGTGTGAGCAGGACCCTGTTCCTTCCCGTGGCTTAGGGCAGGGTCCCTCCTAGCCTCTTCCAGCCACTGGTGGCTCCAGGCGTCCCTTGACCTGTGGCAGCACCACCCCAGGCACACGGCCTTCCCCTCTGTCTGTGTCTCTCATCTTCTGTCTCTTGTAAGGACACTTGTCATTGTATTTAGGGTCCACCTGGACAGTCTAAGATGGACTCATCTCAAGATCCTTCCCTTAATTACATCTGCAAAAACCTGTCCCCACAGTTATCTTTCCAAACAATTCACAGGTTCTGGGGGGTGAAGACTTGGACATATCTTTTTGGGAGCCACCATTCAGCCCACTACAGATGCACTGGCGTGTATTTCTTTTGGTATTTTCTGGAGAAGGTGTTTGGCACAGTCCTCTTTGCAGCGATCCAAATGTTCCCCGCCTTTGGGCCCTGTGTGCTGCTTCTCCAGGGTCACTTTAGGCAAGGATTTCAGACTCCCCCGAGGTCT